AACTGCATTTCTTCATGGAGATTTGGAAGAAGAGATCTATATGGAACAGCCAGAAGGATTTAGAGTCAAAGGGAAAGAACACATGGTGTGCAATTTGAATAAGAGTTTGTATGGATTAAAGCAGGCACCAAGGCAGTGGTACAAGAAGTTCGACTCATTTATGAAGAGTCAAGCATACAAAATGACTCTTTTGGATCCATGTGTATACTTCAAAAGATTCTTTGACAACAATTTTATTATTTTGTTGTTGTATGTAGATGACATGTTGATTGTAGGACGTGACAAGGAGCAGATAACCAAACTGAAGAAAGACTTATCCAAGACTTTTGATATGAAAGACTTGGGTCCTGCACAACAAATCTTGGGGATGAAGATTGTTCGGGACAGGAAGGAGAAAAAGGTGTGGTTATTGCAAGAGAATTATATTGAGCGTGTTCTAGAACGCTTTAATATGAAAGATGCTAAACCAATTAGCACCCCTCTTGCTGGTCACTCGAAGTTGAACAAGAAGATGTGTCGTACAACAACAGAAAAAAAAAAGAAAATGGCTAAAGTTCCCTATTCCTCAGCAGTTGGGAGCTTGATGTACGCCATGGTCTGTACCAGACCAGATATTGCTTATGCTGTTGGAGTGGTTAGTCGATTTCTTGACAACCCGGGAAAAGAACACTGGGAAGCTGTAAAGTGGATACTTAGATATCTAAAGGGTACGTCAAAGACATGTCTATGTTTTGGAGGGACATATGCAGTCTTAGAAGGTTTTACAGACGCTGATATGGCAGGTGATCCTGATCATAGAAAATCCACTTCTGGGTTTGTATTTACATTTTTAGGGAGAGCTATATCATAGCAGTCAAAGTTACAAAAGTGCGTCGCATTGTCAACAACTGAACCCGAGTACATTGCTGCTACAAAAGCAAGGAAATAAATGATTTGGCTGAAGAGATTTCTTCAAGAAATTGGTCTGCACCAAAAGGAGTATGTAGTCTATTGTGATAGTCAAAGTGTAATAGACTTGAGCAAAAACTCCATGTATCACTCTCAAACAAAGCATATTGATGTGCGATACCATTGGATAAGAGAACTGGTGGAAGATAAGTCCTCTTATCTGAAAAAGATTTCCACTGACAAAAACCCTTCGGATATGATGACTAAGATGATTCATCGCAACAAGTTTGAAATGTGCAAAGAACTTGTTGCCATGAGCTCTACTTAGAAGAATATCAGCAATCTCCTCACAGAAGCACGGGTCTGGAGGGGGAGATTTGTGGGGTCCATCCCCTTAAAAGAAGTGTGAAAAAGCCCCATGCAGTAGCAATGCGTGGGCTATGGGTGAAAAGGCCACACCTTTTCACATACATGCAGCAGTTATATTTGAAGCAGCCACAGAAGAAGAAGGCAACCACGTTTTTTCTTTCTTTCTAGCAGGAAATGAGTTGGGCGCCTTGACTAAACTGCTTCACGCGGTTTGCAGCATGCAGCTCTTCTACTATAAATAGAGGAGCTGCAACACCCAAGACACACACCAAAACGAAAAGAGAAGAAGAGAGTTAGAGAGAGACTCTCAAGTTAGAGAGAGGGTACAAAATATTCTCTTATGTAGAGGGTGAGGTTATTATAGCGAGGGTGTTACAAAAGTGAAAATTCTTTTGTGAGTGGTATCTCGAGTTGGCAAAAATACTTGAGAGTCCTGTGTAAATTCCTTCCTATAGTGGTGATATTTTTCCCTCTTGTCCATGGTTTTTCCCAATTTGGGTTTTCCACGTAAATCTTTGTGTCTATATTTTACCCCTTCCTAAATTTACTGTATGTGTATATTTTTCTATGGGAGTGCTGGCCCCAACAAATGGCATCAAAGCACCTTGGGTCCTAACATTCTATAGAAAAGGGATACGATAATTTATCTAATTTTTATATAAATTATTTAGACAATATTACTTCCAACATTCATAAGCCATCCTCCACTACTATAGCCTACTACCAGTCACTCGCCGCTTATCATTGCTACTACTACCACCCCTACCTACCGTTATTAATTGTCGTTCTCCACCTACCACCATGCCTTACCACTGCCCACCACTACTCGCCAACACCCACCACCTGCTGCCCATCGTTATTGGCCCTATCGTCCACTACTATAAAGAAATAAATGAATAGTTTGATATTTTATATATTTATCTAATATTTTATCTATAATTTTGTTAAATTTATCAAATGTAATATAATAATTTTTAATATTACGTGGTCAAAATGCTCTATTTAGATATTGTTTTATTTTACTGTATCCAATCCAACCTACTAAACGAGTGTTTTGTAGAAAATGAATAATTTGTTAGATTTTTCTAGTATTTAATTTGAAAACCATTGCAAAAAATTTAATGAGATTACCATATCTGTCATGTTTAAATTCCCAATTTCTCCTTAACTATAAAAATGATTTATGTTTTGCCCTAGGCACCGACCAGCAATCAAGATTCCAGAGACCTATTAGTCACTAATCCTGTAGGTTAAGACATTCTCTTTCAGCTTCCGCGGAGTTGCAGGATGCAATGATGCTAAATGTTATTTTAAGCCCGCATTGATATTGCAGATTAATTTTTTAAAATTTAAGCGGGTGATCAAACTAATAAAATCATATGGTCAGGGCTTAATGAATTTGATCATTGGTTTAGTTAGTTTATAGTAAGAAAAATCTTAAAATAAGATAAAATTTATAAATATGATATTTAATTATAAAAATAATACTTCTTATTACCTTATGATAAAATGTGACGTAATTTAAATTAAACAAATTTAAAATTAAAAGTTTAAATAAGAAATAAATATATTATTTTATGTTAGTCAAAACCGATTTTAACAAACTAGTCAAAATCAATTAGTTTTACTGGTTCTTTAATATTTTAATTGGTTAAATTCTAATTTTAATTAAGGGATATTGAGTGAACTGTTTTACAAATCAGGTCATAATCGACTAGTCGGATAGGCTGATTTAGCCTAATTTCTAAATATTGTTAGGGATTAATCAAATGGTTCAATAGATTTAATATTCGTTAAATCAGTATTAAATATTAATATTAACTAAGTGAGTGTTAAATTCTCAATCCAATGCGTTAAGATCTAATATTAAATAAGTTTTTAAACGAAGAAGCAACTCTCTTGATTTTTTTTACATAAAAAGATAAAAAATAAAATAAAAATATTTAAACACGTGTCAAAAGCTCAAGATGTTTATCCACTTAAAGTAACACTCAATATTAAATAAATTAATTTATAATGTATTTATTTTAAATTTTATTTATTTTTTATAAATTTGAACTAAGTAATTGAATATATTTTTTAAATATTAAATTTATAAAAATAAAATACTAGTAATTTTCATCAAATTTTAATTTAAGTATCAATTGATGTCAACTAAAACAGAGGCATAATACTTAAATACGAATCACGCGATTCCGGTGATGCTTCCTAAAAGGATATCAACACAAGTACGTGTAGCCAATGCCATGGTAGTTGGTTGTTCGCTCTATTCACTGCATTTGAGAGGACAGGGACACAAATGTAACTTATCCAGGGTCCAGAATTTAATTTGAGGTTTATCTCTTCATATTTTAGTGATTTTAAAATTTACCCCGCCAAAAAAAAGAAATTAAAAATTTTCAAGTTATGTCTTTTCTGAAGATCGCGTTTACAGTAAAGCCCCTTTAGCGGATTATTTTTCACCGTAGGCAAATTCAATTACGGGCTGAATTTTTAATTGGGCGATTCTTAGGGAGGGTAAAATGGGCATCTGCGAACAACTTAATTTGGGCCAGCGCAAGTTTCCCAGCCTGTTTTTATTTGCTCTTCCACGGGACCATGATCTGAGTGTCCATTTTGATATCAATGAAACAAAATATTATTGGGTTTTATAAATATATCAAAAATTAATTTAATCTTTCACCATGTAATTTAATGTATATCATTTATTTAAATTTCTCATGTTTTTACTTGTATTTTTATGTTGGGAAGAGTAGTTTTGATCTTATAAAAATCATATTAAATAATTGAATTATTTTCATATTAATTTTGACAAAAAATTAAATTATATATTAAAAATTACCTATTAATATAAGCTGCAGTAATATTTCAATCCTCTGATTGGGCCCGGAAAAACTAAAGCATTTTAAAAACTAGTAAAAAATTTATTCCTACTACGTTGTATTCCCCGTTAAGCATAATTTTTGATAATCAAGAAAATGTTTTTTCTTGTTTTCTAAAACGTTTTTTGAGAAACAGTTTTAAATTAATTTGGCAAAAACATATTTTCATGTATCTGTAATTGGTTCTATTTTCAAAACAATTCTGAAAAAAAATAAAAAAGCACTTTCTCCAGACCAAAACAATTTTTGTTGGAATTACCTGTGCAGGCTCTCTCTCCTTGTTTAATGAAATCCCAAATTTTTCTGCAATTATTTGTTTTATTTTTATCTTTTGCAAGGAAAGGATCTAATGGGTAATCCATTTTTTTTTGTAGTCAAAACCGAATAACAAACGTATAGCCAAGTCAAAATCATCAGAACTCAGAACAGACTGACCAAAAACGGGTTGCACGGCCCACGTAGATCCACAAGCCCATGGGCTACAGCAACGAAGGCCTTAATTATTGTAGTCTGGTCCTTTAAATCTCCATCCACAACGGCCAGTCCATGTGACGTGATCCACTGGCCCGCAGTACAGGTTGTACTCGTGGCCCCTCTAAATAAACGGTTGATTCATCTACTAATTGCTAGACCACTGAACTTGGACCGTCAGATCATCGTCCTAATAGTTGACGCCCAAGCGACGCTTCCAGAATTGCCAGATTGCGTCTGACCGGATAGGTTCCAGAAGTTTCGGGCGTTAAAAAGGGGGTATTAGTGTTTACTTCGGGGTAGCTTTGTTGTTTCGCAACTTCAGTCCTGGTTCTAGGGTTTTCCGTTTCTCTTTACTCTTCGGGGCGAAAAAGGAAACCAGAGCAAAAGATGAGGTGCTCGATCTTTCTGTTTTCTTGTTTTGCTGTTCTTCGATTGAGTCTCTGACTATCCGATCGATTTCTCTCAGATTTTACATTGCTTATCTAAATGTTTTCATGCCGGAACTCTTGATTGCTCTTCGAAGTTTTCTTTCGTTTATCGCTGATTGTATTTGATTGGTTAACGGTTGTAAAATGAGCGTCTCAATAGCTGCTAGTCTCTTATATTTCTGAACATCCCCTTGGATGCTGAGAAAATTGGGGGCAGAAAGCAGAGAATATGGTTCTTAAGGATAGAGGGATTCAGTTCTGCCTGTATGTTGAGGATGGGGAAGGTTTTATGTTTTTCTTCGTGTTTGTTACCTGTGCTGACGCCAAAGCTTGGCTTGTCGTTCTTCTATGTTATCATGCTTTTTTTCCTCCCCTCTCGGATTTGGAATCGGTTTGCTGAAAATTTCTGTCGAATCTTCATACGCAATGGCTTTATGATTAACTGCCTATGTGAAGTCTTACTCAAGGAAGTGTATGTTTTTCTTTTTTTTCTTTTTCTGGGTACCTCTTTCTATGCATTATTTTCTGATGAAATGTTAATAAGTGCGTCTTGTGTGCATTAATTCGCCAGAAGTTGATAAATGGTTATTTTATATATTGTGATACTCCTATTTTATTTTATTTTATTTTTTATTTTTTTATCAACTATTGTTTGAAAATAGAGATTCATTTTTACTTGCGGTGATTCTGGCTGATGATATTAATGTGGTTGTTATCTGGTTTAGTTGAGTAGTAGAATGCTGTCTTTTGTGTGTGATGGCCATTAGAGCAGTTTATGATTACAAGAATGATGGTCAACTGCTCGTAGTGGTTTGTTGAGCGGGCGGCACATTGTTTAATTATGTTTTGTTGAAGATGTACACTTTACATGATAGAATTCCGATGCACAATTCAATTGGAGTTGGAGTCATATGTACTTGTGCGATGTATTAAGCTGTGATTGTAGTAGCGTTAACATGGCTTGAATAATGCTATGCTATAATATTTGAATTGATTCAGGAAATTTAACTTTTGAAGTTCTTGTGCATGGAAAAGACCTCGTAAGAATTTCAGTGCTGTTTAATGAATGATTTATTTTGCCTGCCTGCTTAATCTTATCCATCTTTTTTACTTTATCTGGCTTTTGGTCATGCTGTTTGTAGTTGCTGCTTTGTACAATATGACATGTTTGATAATGTGTTATAAATATAAGCCTAAAAAAATATTTCTGCAATTTAACATGGTTGTGATTTCAAAATGGATCCTGTATATCATTAATACTTGGTTATTTTTTTGATCCATTTCTTATGATTAACTTTCTCCTTGCATGTTAAACTTTCAGTTAATTTCACTTATTTAACTGCTAACTACAAAGTTTGTTGTAGTTACTTCTTTTCTATTTTCTTATTTCCTGGGATTACCTGTCTAATGGTATATGAATTTTTCAGTCGGCATCCTGAGGTTAAGTGGGCTCAGAGGCAGGACAAGGTTTATATTACAGTACTATTGCCTGATTCAAAAAATGCGAAGGTTAATCTTGATCCAGAAGGAGGTTTTACATTCTCTGCAAGTGCTGGAGCAGAGAATCACCTTTATGAGTTAAAGTTGGACCTTTTTGACAAGGTCAATGTGGAGGTAAGACAAGTTCATAGCCTCTTGTCCTTCATGAATCTTTGAGATGAGGCTCATCTGATGATGGTCCAATTGCAGTGCAGTTGGGGTGTGTAATTACATGAGCTAAGAATTAAGTTCTGTGCACTTAGTTTGTCGTGGCCTTACTACCCTAGCTTATAATTCATGGATCTACCCATCTGAGTGCTATAGAGAGTGGGTTCATCAGTAAGAGGTCAAAGCAGTATATTTAATGTATAGTATGAATGAATTGTGGTGGATTTGTAAACTTTCCTAGGGTCTTTAAAGGATGGAATGAGTGATAGAGTATGCATCTGTCTGAGATGTTGAGGCATGTTAGTTTTGCTTGTCTGTAAATTCTTGATCCTCTCTCTTGCAGGAAAGCAAAATAAATATAGGTGTGAGGAGTATAATCTGTGTTTTAGAGAAAGCTGACCATAAATGGTGGAAGAAACTACTGCGTGGAGATGGGAAGCCACCACATTATTTGAAAGTTGATTGGGATAAATGGTAGATGAAGATGAGGATAATGGTGGTATGTTTCCATAATCTCACACTTAATATGATTGAACTGTTCTGCATGATGCTGAAAATGTCCTTTTTTCTTTATATTATTAACATTTATTTCTTTGTGTTTAGGAACTGGGGACCTTGATTTTGGAGGAATGGACTTCTCGGTAAGGATGTAACAGCTTCATATCTAAATTTAATATTTCTTGTAGTTTTTTGTACTAAAGTTCTTCTCACTGATGCACTATACAGAAATTTGGTAACATGGAAGATATGGGTGGCAACATGGGTGATGATTTCGATGATAGTGATGAAGGTAATTATGAATTTTAATATAGAATTTATGTAAGGAGTAAGTAGTAACATCTTGATGGATGTGCTTTGTTAATATGTTTTAGTGATTAAGAGGGTAAAAATAAGGTGCCAGGTCTGTTGGTGTTTAGTTGTGGGTGTTGTTTGGTTATCCAACATAAATTGCATGTTCAGTGCATGCTAATTTGCATATATTATTACTTTTAAGAATTTCTAGTGTTTTCAATCATTCAGTCTTTTCAACTATTTTGCATATTGACATGCTTATAACAGTTTGACAAGATTCTTATGTTGTGCCAACACAAAACTCACTATGAAATATGTTACTGTCTGTGCACATAAATGAAAGAGTTGAAACATGTTAATTCAATCTTGGGGTGGATTATTTGCAAAGACATTTTGCAAAACGGAGTCCTTATTAATTAAACAATAATAAATCATAGGTAAACATGCAGATCTACTAAAACTGTCATCCTAGCATGAGCAACGTGGAGAACCTGTACTGGAAACTCTTGTGGAGGGTAATTGTTGAATAGAAAAAGCCCATGCATGTGTAAGATGGGCCTGGGCCTGTGCACAAATTTTATGTGGCTAGGCTCACTTGGAAATGCTTGTGAAGTGATTTTGGTTGGTTGGTTGGTTAGAATTTTGGAATTAATTATATTGGCGTTCAGTTGAGTTTCTAATAGAGATGTTGGGAAAAAGGGTCATTTGTAAATGTTTCTTTCCTGTAATTTGTTGTGTGAATCTTCTACTTCCTCCTTTCATCTGTGTCTGTTTCAACTTGTTTGGAAGGAAGTTGGTATTATTTCATTTCTATTTATTCATCATTTTACTTATGTACAGATGAAGAGGTGGCAAAGCCAGAAGTGCATGACACTGAGAAGGCAGGGGGAGAAGCAAAGCCAGAAGAACACAATGCTGGTAAGATGGAAGGAACTTCAGAGGGAAAGGCTGAATCTGTAGCGAACTCATAAATTGTCTGTTAGAGTGAAGAGTGTGATTGGCTTTGGCTTTTAGTAATTAATTTATTCTCCTTGTGACTGGATGAAAGCATGGTTTTTCCGGAAGTGACCTGATTGTCACAAAGTATTCGCTCCTGTCATTGGGAGAAAACTATTTTCAAAGCGTTAACTTGGATTTGGTTGTTGTATTTTAGACTTTAGTCGAGGGTCTGGTGAATGATATAATCTAGTTGTTACTAGTATTAAAATTTACTTCTACCGTGTGTTTTGTGGGGGTATTGTTGATGGAGAGAAAAATGGTGGGGGAAAAGACGATAGGAGGGGGGGGGGGGTTGGGAAACTGGACATGAAGAAAAATCTAAGCTGAAATATATTTACTTTGATTACGTTGACAAAGCGAGCAAAGCTTGAGTTTGTGAAAGAGGGGTGTGAAATGTCGTCCTGAAGTACTGATGCTTGAAATTTCGCCCTTGCTTGGCTTGAGTTTGTGAAAGATGGCCATTTACCGGATTGTCTAGCGCATTTTGTGTGTTAACGAGGCTATTTTGACTGCCACTTGTATGTCGTTCCAAAAGCTTCTATGTACTGATTTATAATTTGAAGGATTGAGTGTTACATACACGTCAATGAAAAGGGTGAGAAAGAAAATATTGTTTAGAATTTTTATTTAGAAGTACGTTTAAAATAGAAAATCTAAGAAATAGGTGGATTGTTTTCAGCTCAATCTAGTTGGAGCAGCAGGTGTGCCTGGTGCCAAGCCCAGGCGAATGCTTGTTGTAAAGGTTTTAGGTGTCAACGTTGTTGGTTGATGACTATTGCTTGGTGTCGTAAGGTCCAATCCCCAATGGACAATAAACTGTTGACGTAATCGATTGCTGTAGTACCATTTATTTGTCGTTGCTCTTGTTCAAGTTTGCAAGTATCAGAGGTGAAACAGCGCCTAAAGCCATCTGCTTGGACCGTGTCTTGCGTTGTCAAGCCTAGCATTGCTTGCAATTTGCTCTTGGTGACAATTTTCAGCGTCATCGCTTTTGCCTTTGCCTCGCGCAATAGCTAGATGAAGAGCATCGTAGAGCCTGATTGCAAAGTCCTATTGATCCAACTGCATAGTCCTAGTAGCCCGTTGACTTTGCCTTGACCCTGCAGTGTATCGCTGCCAACCCTGGTCGCCCGCGGAGCCCATGAGCCTCAGCAACCCTTGGAGTGCATCTATGTTTTGTGCCCATCGCATTATGTCCGCAAAGACTTTGTGCCTTACCAATAGAACCCAGTCGACCCAATTGGCGGCGACTTCCCATTGCCGCTGGAAATCAACGAGCATTCCGCACTGACCATCACCCATGGTCTAATCACCGATATGCCAGTGTCTCCTTGCAACCGATAACACCTGGCTACTGCGAAGCCTCACTAAAGCATGGAGACCTGACTTGAGCTCCTAGGGCAAGCTTGGGCGATGGGATGCCTAGCCCAGGCTTAGGGATGTCCATAATTTTTAAAACTGTATCGTACTGAAAATTAAATTTTTTTAAAAAAAATTATAATTTTTAGTATTAAGTAATACTTTACCGAAAATTTTGATATGGTTATAGTTTTATAAATTCAAAACCGACAAAAAATCGAACCGAACTGAATATTATATATAATAATTTATTAAATTATTTATATCATATATAAAATGATTAAATTTTAAAGCATTAATTATAATTCAATTGTAAATTAAAGAAATTAAAAGGTTAAGGACTATATGAAAAAAATATAAATATTATGGATTAAAGTGTTAAAAAAATTCTAATAAATATTTTACATGCTTACAACTAGTTTATTAACGTATACATTTATTAGTAAATGAGATTATTTTTTTTTTTATTTTTTCTTTTATTATCAAATTTATGTTATAATAGAGTGAATCACTTACCAATTTATCACATAATTTAAATTTCATAAATTATCTAATACATGATAAGCCGTAACTTAAAAAAAAAAAAAGAACTTCTTAAATATACTTTTCATTATAAATAAATAAAAAATTTTCCTGAACAAATCTAAAGAGTAGTTATGGAGAAAAAAATTAAATGAAAAAATTACATGCAAAGAAATGTGAACTAAATATTGAACTTTTTTCCCATAAAAAACCTTAAATTAAAAAAAAATATATCATTACCAAATAAATACAAATAATTGAGAATTAAATTTCAATTCTTAAAATATAAATGGTTGAATTTTATATTTTAACTATCAATAAAAATTAAGTGTAAAATAATGAATACATATTTAAAGAAAATAAAATTTAAATTTAAACTATACCATTCTTATATATTATGCATAATAATTTATTAAATTATTTATATTATATATAAAATTATTAAATTTCTAAATAATTGGATTATAAGTTATTAATTAAAGTATTTATATTATATGTAAGTTAATTAAATCATCTAATAATGATAAGTCTTTAATTAAATTGATTAAAAGTTCTTGTTAAATTAGGTTAAACAAAATTAACTTTTTCATTATTTTTATATGATTTTTAATTTGTTTCTAATATATTGTGAGATCAAGAATATAAAAATTATAAATAATTATTAATGAAAGTTTTGAAATTAAAATTTTAAAGGTAAGAAATTATTAATATTGTATAATTTTGAAATAATTTAATTTTTTCATATTAATTATATACTAAAATAATCTTTTTTTTGTGATTTTGTAAAATTTTTATTAGTTTACTTAAATATTTTAATATAATTAAAAAAATCGTAAAAACCGTACTGGGACCGAACAAAACTAAAATAACGGTATCGGTATCAAAAAATATAATTTTAGTTTTAATACTAAAAAAATTAAAATAATTGATATGGTATAATTTTATGAAAAAATCGATAAAAATCGAACCGTGAACACCCTTGACCAGGCGACGCCCAAGGTGCACCTCACCGTTGGCATGCCTAGTGGCGTCCGAGTCTCCTAGAGTCCTCCCTTAATTGGTTTTATCCAACTAAATTCTTTGTGCTCAAAACGCCATAACTTATTTACAATTTCAATCCTCAATTTTTGAAATTTTAATTAAAATGTTTGCAAAACTAATTAATTCATTCATAACAAATTAATTGTTTTTATTATTTATTTTTTTAAAAAAAAAATTCAATTACTTGAAAATAAATAAATCAATTTTATTTTCATTATTTTTATTTTTTAAAAATAGAAACACAATAGCCCAAACTAAACATATTTCCTAAAATTTGAAAATGAAAATTATTTTTTTAGAAAATAGGAGCAAGAAATAAAAATAAAAAATATTTCCTTAAACCAAACGCAACCTTGGTGTTTGGATTTGTATTTTCTTCTATTTTCCGTTCTCGTGTTTCTAAAAACACAGGAGTATTGAACCTTCTACTCTTTGTTTGCAGTTTTAAACAAAAATAATTTTCCGCGTTTGGAAAATCAAATTTTGTTGTTTTCTAAGATGGAGCTCTTTAAAAAATTCTTTCCAATATATGTCGAAAGAAATATACTAATCTTGAGGACTCTTTGAAATTTGACCAAAAAAAAAAAAGATATATCCAAAATTAGGGGTGAGCATAAACTTGCTCAACCCACCTGACCTGTCGTAATCTAGCAATTTAATATAATATTTTTCTCGTAATGATTTATAATTTTACAACCCGTTCGTCATAGATTGAGTGACGGTTTAAAATTTTAAAAAATCCGTTGCCACCCAAACTGTCTGCTATATATATATATATATATATATTATTACTATCATTTATTCTCTATCAATCCTAATTCTTCTTACCTAAATTAAATTTTTTATTGAGAGAAAATACATAGTATTTAAAATAAATAAAATCATAATCTAAAAATTTTCAAATAAGAAATTTTTTTTCATTCTACTTAAAATATGAATACAATAAATCAAAATTAAGTATAATAAATAATATATTTATTCATTATTAAAAAAATATTGTAATAATAATATATTTATTTTGAACACCTTAAATATTTTTTTTATATTAGAAGTTATCACATAAATATATTTAAAGAATGTATAATTAAGTTTTTTTTATTTTTTTTAACTTTATATAATAATTTTGTTAGACTTGATTAATGTTTTTTTCTATTTGAACTTAACTGTAATAATTTATGTTTTTATTTAATTAAAAATATTCATTAAAAGTGATCTAATTATATAAAATTTATTTTATATTTCTTTTAATTTTATTTTATTTTATAATAAAAAAAAAACTTATTTTAATATTATTTAATTTTTTAAAATTATATTTTTATTAAATTTCATTCGTAGCATGTTAACTCACTCACACAATTTGAAACAAAAGTAAAGTGAGCTCGATTTTATTTATTTGTGTCACCTACCCACGTCATATCGAGTTAACTTTTTTACACGAACCATCCGAATCCACGCGCACTCATCTCTATCCAAAACCAGAGGGTCAATGCAATATTGTTCAAGTCATCTTCTAATAAACTATGCATTGTAAGTAAAAACGTCTCGTACGAAATTAAAAGAAAAGCAGGTTTTATCTTTAGGTATGAATTTCCTGACCCCTTCTTCTCTTTTAATTTAGGTGTCCAATTAATTTAAGCCTCTTATGTCTGTGTGTTTAAAAGAAAAAATAAATAGTACTACATTTCTTAAAAAATTTAAATTTTAATCCTATACCTTATAAAAATATATAAAAGAGATATTCTTCCCTTATAAATATTAAAATTATAGTAATTACTCTCCTAATCAACATTTAAGTTAAATATTGATTGAAATTCTACTTTTAAATAATATAAATATTATTTCAAATATAAATATGATCAATTTTCTCTCATTTTAATATTTATAGTATTATTTATAATTAAAAAAATATTTATAGCATTTAAAAGTAAAATTTTTGATAAATATTTTAAAATAAAAATTTTAAATAAGCTTAAATTGTAGAAGAATTAATAATTTATTTTACAATATGAGATTTTATTCTTATTAATAAAATTATATTTCTAAATTTTAATATAAATTTTATAACTCTTTAATTATAGAAATTACATATTTTTATAAATTTTGAAAATTTATAAATTAAAAATTTACAAATAAAGACTTTAAAAACATGCCATAAATAAATGAATTATTTTAAAATATTCATCAAAAATTATATTTTTAAAGAGATAAATATTTTTTAAATATAAATAATAATTACAAATTTTGAAATAAGAGAAAATCGATTAATATTTATACATAAAATGATATTTATATTCTTTAAAAATAAAATTTTTAATAAATATTTTACTTAAATACGAAATAAGTATTATAAATAAATTATTTTTATATATTTTTAAAAAATATAAAATTTAAATTTAAATTTTTTTGAAAGATGAAAAACTATTTTTCTTGGAAGAACCCAAAACATTATAAAATAAATAGAAAAGGCACCGCGTGCAAGTGGTGCGAAAGTTACTCTGGGCGCATTATGTGAGACGGTTCATCAGCCCAATCTCAAAACTTTGGGTTGGACCATAAACCCTTTACATCCGGCCCATCGGTTTGGGTAGAGCTGCTCCGTCTTGATAAGCTCGTGGGCCCATTTTCGAGATGGCCTTTTACCCAACCCTAAAGCCCAAATGTTTGGGCTGGAACTGCTTTTTCTGTGCATCAACCTGAAAGCCCATTGGCTTGGGTAGGAAGCTTACAGCTGCTTCTCCGACGTGACAAGGAAAACCAGACCTTCACCCAGAAACAAAGCCATTTTAACCACCAGGCGTGGCATGGTTGGTAGTTAGCCTGATCCCTTGACCATGAGGTGTGGGATTCAATTCTTACCTATGGGAATGGAGCAGCATTTTGTAAGCAGCAGTCTATCTACTTTGGTGAGTTCAAAATTGTGAGGAAAATTAATCACAGCTGCCGGTGGTAAATACCTCCTGGGTCAACAAATTAAAAAAAAAAAGGAAACAAAGCCATTTTTGTTACAAACTAATTTAAGAAAATTACTGAAGATAAAAAGTTTAAGATCTATTTGGATCGTTAAATAGTAAATACTGTTTCAAATGGAAGTGTATCGTGTCCCCATTCTTGCATACCAATTTATTATTTGCCAGGTTATTAGTAATTTTTGATTAAGTTTCGGTAAACAGGGAGATGTTTCTGAAATGAAATTTAAAAAAATTTAAAAACTTTTTAATATCGCAAAATTTTCGTAATATTGCAGATAAGTTGATTTTGAAAATTCATCCTTGGATTGTGGCATTTGAGAATATGTCAATCTGGCTCATCAACTCGGATTCAGGCGGATCCAGCTATCGTCAGATCCGAAGGTATTAATTGATATTATCAATGGGAGGCGTGGCAGCAACTCAGAGACCCTTCCTTTAATCGCTAGGAGAAGAAGCATGATTCGAAGACGGTGGCATGTGGAAACTCAACACTTCCAGAGACGTAGCAATTTATGCTCCGACACATTTGCTAAATTTGGTCTATCCCCTGACCCGGGTCCGAGAGTACCTCATAAGTTAAGAGATCTCCTGCACTTATCCCTTGACCCGGGTCTGAAAGAGTAACCCCCCAAGTAAAGAGATCTCTTGCATTTCGAGACTATGAAAACCCGCTTCCCTCAGTCTAGCCTAGTCTAGCTTCTCTTGGGCTCAGGCCCCAGTTATTACCAAAAAAAAAAAAAAAAAAATATTAACTTTTTAAGATGTTAAATCGGATCTCAAAGTAAAAAGTCAACTTCTTATCTTGCACTCCAAAGAGTTTGCTACACTAATTTAGCAAACACTACATTTCTCCCATCTTCGCAATTCCTCCAATTCTCAATCAACATATAAACTCAGCATAGGCTGAACACTATTGCATGAAGAGTTCAGCATGTTGTATATTGCAGATATTACCAGAATCCATGGAATATATGTATATATACACGATGATGTTCTTAACATAGGGAGAGATTGACCCGTCAAACCAGACAGCTTGACTGAACAAAATAAACGAACCAATGCATGCGGTAATGCCTCAACCAAGCAAGCACTAGTCGCAAGGCTATAACACTGTAATTCTGCATAAAGCTCCAAGTACAAAGTTTTAACATTGTCATCATACCTTGCACACAACAAATTTAGCTTCAATGAAGAATATCTGGGTAAAAAATATACGACAATACTCCAACAAACTAATAACACTCATTCAGTGAGCTAATTTATTTGATAACATCAAGATAACAAAACAATGAATATGTGTTCTCTCTCAGTTCCATCGCATATCTAATAGAGTTCATTACGCCAAAATATAAGCAGTTCTAACCCAAACAATTTAAAGCAGTAACAGAGAAAATGATGAAAGCTAAAACCTTGCCCGAGCTGTCTAGCTGTTGATGCCATTCTAATATATTAACGTCAAGGCCACATTCCGGATGAATCCCATCTAATAAATTGAGTAATTTTCACCAGCAGCGGGCCAGAGCTTCTTGTACACAGCAGAGGCAAGTGGAATAATACCTGCTAGTGCAATAGAAAGATGGTCTGAGCTGCTTGTTCTAACAGTTATCTGCCCGCTGAGCTTATTGTTTATTCCTGCACGAACAGCCACCTTTGAATTCCGCCCAACAGAAAACTGAGCCAGCGTGTTGAATCCCAAAGCCCAGTCCCCTCTCCACTTAATCAAAGAAAGCCCATATGTGGACTGAATTTGGCCAATCGGGTAATCAAGTTCCCGCCGCTGCAACTCAAAATTGGCTCCATATGCCGCATCGCCTTGACATCGGATGGTCCCAGCACTACCCACCAAAGCCCACTGCTTTCCCCACGCAATCTGATCCTCCACCTTCAATCCCGTAGCAACATTCTCACCCAAGAAAGTAATTGATATCCCAGCAGCGGTTTTATTCTTCTTTAAATTTTTGAATTTGGTTTCACCTCGGATGATGTAAGCAAGTTGCTTTCCAATGTTTTGGATGTCAAAGCCTGCCATGCTTGATCCATTTTCTCCATGTTTGGCAGACACTGATGAATCCAAATGGATGCTGAAGTCTTTCTTATCCTTAGTGACTTGGAGAGTAACTGCTGCCGGAAATTGACTGGCAATGGCTAGACTATATTCAAGGTTGACACCATCATAACCGCAATCATGGTCCCAACCATGGGTGTCCAAAACTGGCCTAGCCAAAAATTGCGAAGTTGGCTCCAAGAACCTGTACCTGTACTGCGGAGTATCACCATCAAAGGAAAGTGGTAAGACCATGTCAGGTAATGGAGTAGCCACAGGTGCTGCACTTCCATTTTCCTGATCAGGATCTTCACCCATGAAACCATACTCATCCACAGCAGCATCTTTCCCTTTCTTCTTCATCTCCCTCATTCTCCTCAACTCCTCCCTCCACTGTTTCTTCTGAAGGAGTTTCACCCGATAGTCATACTCCTCAAAATACGCCTTCCTCTGTTCCTTGGAAAGCTTAGCAATCTGGGCTTTCCTGAGAGGCTTGAATGGTGGGAGCTGATCAAATTCATCCTCCTCTTCATCTTGGTCAGAATCTGACAAATCAGCCAAGTCAATATCAGAATCAGCATTCTCAACACCTTGGTCACTGGAAAGTTTCGGGTGGGCCCGAGTTTGCAACATCGAGGACAACATGTATGGAAGAGGCGGGGAGCGAACACGGAAGCCAAAGAGCTTCCGGTGGTCAAGCGGGTCTTGAGGTTTTGATAGAGAGTTCGCTTCGGATAATATCTTCATAGAGTAGCACAACAACAACAGCTGTGGCCTCCATGTCTGGCCATTGGGGAGCACCTTGTGGCCTTCCCTGTTCTTACGACACAAAGGATGGTTTTCAACAAGGGAAACAGGATTCATCAAACTAGGACTCATCATACGCAGGTCACCCACAGCATGTCCAATGGACTGCTGAACCACGTGGGATCTTTGACTAACAAAAACCTCATAGCTCAATGGGGAACCAGATGGTCCATCAGGTGGTGCTGACGCAGCATGTGTGAGGGTAACTATAGCACTTCGCCAGATAGACGAGCCAAGAGAACTGGTAATTGTCTTTAGTAATGGAAGGTCATTAAGATCTCTAGTCTGAGTGTCCAGACGATCCACATATAGGACAATATCTGGAGGACTTTTCTTGGTGACCTTCTTTATGGAAGACAAGATTTTGCGGTTGAAAGCTTGATCCATCACACCAGACTTCAGACCTGGTGTATCAAACACCTTAATCTCAACTCCATCCAACATGCCACAAATCTCCTTTACGTTTGTGGTGGCCGGTTCAAAAGCATCAATTGAAGCTTTCTCTTCGCCCAAAATGGAATTTATGGTCGCACTCTTGCCCACTCCAGATTTCCAAGAACAAGGATCTTAACTGAAAACTTCAGATCATTTTTTGCCTCTGCTTCAAGCTGCATGGCAGTCATCTTTGCAGCTTCTAGGCTAAAAGTTGGACTGTTTTGTCTCCCAGCCACAAGTGCCAACCGGTATAAAACTTGCGCTGCTACAGATTCATCAGGAGAAACGCCTAATCTCTTAACAAGCCTCAAGAACTTCACCCTTATTGCCTGTACCTTCTCCAGCTTCTTTTTCTCATCTTCACTTAAGTTATTCTCTGATTCTCCCCCAGTTGCAAGACCAGAAACATTAAAAAGGCTGGAATTAGTTGGCCGTGAAACTGGCCTAAAAGGACGGGCTGAGGATCCCAAACCAGCTGGACGCTCAATTGAGAAAAGTCTAGATCCATCTTGAGATGTTATTGTGATATTACCACCATCTGAGCTAGCTCCTGTTGCTGCTTTCAAAAGAGCTGCCAAAGCAGCAGAATCAAACAACTCCTTCCCATCTCCTTCTTCATCAGTGCCCGCATCTTCATCTGAATCCGTAATGATTTGACCATCAATTAACTGTGGTTGATCAAGGGCACCCTTGACACCAGAACCAGAAGCAGCAACTGATCCTTGTTCCAACTCCTCAATAAACTGTTTAGCAGCTTCAGAGCTACCAAAGATCATCCCATCAGTGTCCCCGTCTGTCACTGAGCCACTGATATCACGTTTTCCATCCGTATGGTTTTTCACTTTATCTTGGTGTTCTAGCATCACTTGTTCCTTCTGAACCAAACTTGTTTCAGCAGCTCCAAGTGACTGGGATTCACCAGAGCGATGTTCTAATCCATCATCCCCAGTAGTCCCAGAGGCACCATCAAGTTCTAGATTTTTCACGTCATGAAACATAGCACCAAGCACCGTTTCAGCAACAAACTGCTCTCCCTTAACCCCATTTTCATCAGCATTGTCTATTTCCTTGCTAGACACAAGCTCCACTCTGTTAGCAGAAAGAGACGCTATAGTTTGATTCTGGATTACCTCAGAATCAGCAACCTGCTTGCTTAAATTCTTTTTTTCATCCACTGTAACATTATGCTCAGTAGAAGTTTCAGCAACAGCCACAGGAATGTTGACAGCATCAAAGTTCTCAACAACATGACTTATTTGATCAGATCCATTAATCAACACCCCACTTCCATTAACTGAACTTTCTGGATTCTTGATTGAATCCTTGTTTACCCCCAACTCCTCAATAGCAGCCCTTCCTGGCTTGGAAGCATTGACATGTATAGCTTCTTGATCAGGCTTGAGGCTCACTGGATCTATAATCTTGTCTTTACTTTGGCTACCTCCATTCCCTAGAACAGATGAATCATCCACCACCTCAGAACTCCCTTTGACTTCCACAACACCAACAGAATATTCGCCATCCAATACTTCACAATTCTTATCCTCCTCGCCCTTCAAATTATTAACCCCCTCTACAGCCACCTTCTCTAGGGTCACTCGTTGATCAGACTTCAGCTTCAGTAGTTCCACAGTCTCCTCTTTACTTTGGCTACTACCATTGCCAAGAATAGATGACTCATCAACCACCTTGGTAACCTCTTTAGCCTTCAAGGTAGTAACAGAACTTTCACCATCCAAAACCTCATTCTTCTTCTTCTCCTCCTCATCCTTCTGACCGGTCAACATATGAACCCCCTCTACGACCACCTCCTCCATAGCCTCAAAACCTTTTCTCGCATAACCAAATACACTATCAAACTTTGAAGTTTCATTCATCTTATCTTCGGTATTATTATCATCCTCCAAACCCTTGACAAAACCACCTTGGGTCACACCCAAGCCAATTTCTCCCAGTAACACCTTCAAACCCGTGTTCTCCCCTGACAATGCTTCCACCGAACTTTCAGGCTCCCCCACAAATCCCTTGGCTCCAATTGCATTGGGATTCATTGCATCTACTGGAGACAAATCAGAAGCACCATCGTCAACGCTAGAATTCAAACCCTTTTCACCAACTACTCCAGACTCCTTCCCATGCATAACTCCTTCTTCTTCCGCCTTTTCACCCCCAAAAAGCTCGTCCACCGGAACTTTTTCCACATCATCATCAACCGCGGCAACCTCCATTGGCTCTGAAACCTTTGGAACACCATCATCAACAATGGAGCTTGAACCCACTTCATCAACTCCTCCATACTCCTTCCCTGCATAACCGCATCTTCTTCCACCTTTCCGCTCCCAAAAACCCCAAATAGAGGAACCTTTACGCCATCATGATCACCTGTCCAAACCTCCATAGGCACTGAAACCTTTGAAGTCGAAATTTCTGAAGAAACAAAAGCAGACTCGCGAATTTCTCCCCCCTCAACAAGCTTTTCCTCCGCTTCTTCACCTGGCTCAGCCACAGGTGGCCTCTCCAACATCGTTTCCACCCCTTTTTCCCCACTCCCGTATTCGGGAGAAACAAAATCGGACGCTCGAATTTCTTCCCCTTCAACCTGCTTTTCTACTGTTTCTTTACCCGTTTTGGCCACAATTGGCCTCTCCGACGCCGTCTCCAACTCCTCCCCACCGCTCACAAAACCCTCGTCGTCAGAGCTACTACTAGAACTGCTACTGCTGCTGCTATTCTTACGAGGTTTGGATTTGGCCTTTGAAGCCTTGCTTTTAAAAAAACTACCAATTCCGAAATTAGAGAGTTTGAAAGAAGAAGGAGAAGAACCTGTAGATGCAGAGTCCAAGACCTGAGCCGCGGCTTTTTCGGCTTCCATGGATTGGATTTAAGCCCTCCTCCTGCGCTGAAAAGGTTCAAAATTACAGGAAGTTGAAGCACAGGGTTCAAGTTTCTATCAGGGATTGATATCTGTATGAATCTAGTAAGCTGTGAGAAAATGGAATGCAGAGGGATGATAAGGTAGAGAGAGAGAGGGAAGTAGAGTCCCGCGGCCGCACGGTGGACTAGCTTTGGGGGTTCCGCTGCTTCGTATTGGGGGCTGGCGGATTCATATTCTTACCTTCCATTCACCTCCTCGCAGATCTTTTTTTTTTTTAGTTTTTATATTTTTTATCACTCGATTTATTGAAAGATTGTTGTTGTTTTTAATATTTTTTATAAAGGAAAGTGTCTTTTTATTCTTTTTTTAAATAATGAGTGTCTACCTTTATAAGGGTTTGTTTGGTCATTTACATCTTTAGAGTTATATACATTTATTTATTTGGTTTAAAATTTTTTAAAAATTATATATAACAAAATTTTAATTTATTATTTTTTAAATTTATTTTAATATTTATTTATTTTTTATAAAAAAACCAACTAAACCAAATCAGAAATTTGTAGATATTTATGAAAAAATTTCAGGTGGAGAGTGCCGGGCTAAATAAGGAAAATTAGAAGCTAATTGAAAATAATTCAAATGGATGTCTTAATAAATATTCTAATTATTTTAAAGAGAGAAAAATATAAAAACTCTAACAAAAATGTCATTAAAAAAATATCAATTTAAAATTTAAATAAAAATAAAAAATACTTTTAAAATTAATAATTTATTTAATTTTGAATATAATATTATGTCAAAAATTTAAATCCCAGACAGATAGCTAAACGGCAAACAGCTCCTACAGTTTTGGACCATAAGCGCTACGATTCCGTTGCGGGGATTAGGGTTCGTATTGGGCCTGGCCTGTCACGTGACGTGACTCGAAATTTGTTTTTTTGTTGTGTTCTCTCCGGCTTGCTCTCACGGATAACGCAAAGCCCGTCCGCATGGCTTCGGCCTATACGTGTTTCTATCCCCGCCCTCTTATTTCTCATCCTTAGCGCATGGCCCAAAGCTGTCCAACCTTTATCTATTGAAATTTTATACTGAAAATATATATCGAAATATCAAAAATAAAAGATAAATAATTCATTAACATTAATATAAATGTAAAAAAAATTATATTAAATTTTATATTATTAATTTAATTAAAATTAATAGTTAAAATTAATTACAACTATTTTTTAATAACTAATTTACAGTTATTTTTTTAAAAATATTAATTAATTTTAATCGTTAATTTTGACTAAATCAACTGTGTAAAATTTTATATAAATATTTTATACTTATACTGGTGTTAATTGATTCATTATCAAAATAAAAATTTAACATAATAAGCATTTCTTTTAAATATTTATATTTAGATATTTATTTTTCTAACAATAGGCTGTTTTCAAGTTTTAAAAAAAGTTTTTAAATATTTTCTATTGATAATGAAAGAATCACGCCGATTTATTTTTTATAAAATTTATGTGATTTTTTCCTTAATGTTTTAGTGTTTTATGCTTCAAAAATCATCTAAAATATGAAATAAAAACTAGGGGTGTTCATCCGTTTTGTTTGGTTTAGTTCGATTCGATTCGGTTCAATTCTAAACATTATTAAAATCAAATTAAACATATTGTTTTTGGGTTTGCTTGGATATAATCAATTTTTTTTTTTGGGTAAAAAATCAAACAAACCAGATATGGTTGAATTCAATTTGATCTGATTGATCTAATCAGTTTTGCTCATTTTTTTCAAAACAAAAACATAACACATGTTTTTTTTAAAATAAAAAAATAAAATCAAATATGAAATTTAATTTTTGCATCAAATTTATACCTTCTATGAGATAATTGAAATTAAGTACAAATTAATGAATTTATATAAAAATAATATATATTAAATAAATAAATTTAAAGTAGATTAATTTGGTTCAATTCGATTTTTTTTTATAAAATTAAAAATCAAATTGAATTAAACCGAATTGATTGATTTGATAATTTTGTAAATAGAATTAAACTATTTTTTTCAACTTTAATTAATTTTTAGTCAATTTAATTTAATTTAACTCTATTCAATTGGTTTGATTAATTTTGGACATTCCTAA